TTTCACCGTGTTAGCCAGGATGGTCTCGATCTCCTGACCTCGTGATCCGCCCGCCTCGGCCTCCCAAAGTGCTGGGATTACAGGCGTGAGCCATCGCGCCTGGCCGCCTCATCTGTATTTAAAGCTGCTCCCCATCACTCGCATTACCGCCTGAGCTCCGCCTCCTGTCAGATCAGCGGGGGTATTAGATTCTCATGGGAACACGAAGCCTATTGTGAATTGCGCACATGAGGGATGCAGGTTGCAGGCTCCTTATGAGAATCTCATGCCTGATGATCTGAGGTGGAACAGTTTCATCCCAAACCATCCTCACCCCAAGTCGGTGCAAAAATTGTCTTCCGTGAAACTGGTCCCTGGTGCCAAAAAGGCTGGGGACTGATGTCTTTCAGGATTCTCAAAATTACTATGTCAAAAAACCTTGACTTCCCTCCAAAATGAACTGTTCCTACCCAACTTTCTCCCATCTCTTTAACTGTGCAGCTCTTCCCCTCGTTATTTAGACCCTAAGCAAGGAGTTATCCTTGACTCTTCTGTTTCCTTCACACCGCACACCCCACATTGGCAAATCCTAGCAGCTCTAGCTTCAAAATATATCCAGTTTGACCATCTCTTACCTAATATGCTAGTTCAAACCACCACTGTCTCCCACCTGGATATAACCATGTTAGTCTCCTGAATGACCTTTCTACGTCCCCACTCTTGCCTCCCTGTGATGTATTCTCCACACAGTAGCCAGAGTAGACTCTCTAAAAACTAGGAATCAGATCAGCCACTTTCCTGCTCAGAACTCTCCAGCAAGCTAAAAAAGTCCATTTTATGGAGGTATGGAGTATAATGATGGTTGCCAGAGGCTGGGAATGGGGGTGGATGAGAGAGGTGGGTTAATAGATACAAATAGGCCAGGTGCAGTGGCTCATGCCTGTAATCCCAGCACTTTGGGAGGCGGAGGCGGGCAGATCACGGGAAGTCAGGAGTTTGAGATCAGCCTGACCAACATGATGAAACCCCATCTCTATGAAAAGTACAAAAATTAGCCAGGCGTAGTGGCAGGTGCCTGTAATCCCAGCTGGAGGCTGAGGCAGGAGAATCGCTTGAACCCAGGAGGCAGAGGTTGCAGTGAGCCGAGATTGCGCCACTGGACTCCAGTTTGTGCGACAGAGTGAGACTCTGTCTCAAAAAAAAAAAAAAAAAAGTACAAATACACAGTTAGATAAAATAAGTTCTTATGTTTCATAGCACAGGAAGGTGACTACAGTTAATATAAATAGCTAGAAGAGATTTGAAATGTTCCCGGCACAAAGAAATGATAAGTGTTTGAGGTGATGGATATTCTAAATACCCTACTTTGGCCATTACACATTGTACGCATGTATCAAAATATCACATGTACCCCATATATATGTACAATTATTATGTGTCAATTTTTTAAAAACAATGACTAAAACAGAAGCATGGAAAAAAAAAAACAAAACACACATCTCCACTCGCTATCCACTACACTTAGAAGAGTTCACACTTTATACCTCAAGCTCAGAAAGGTAGGTTCTGACATGGCCTCTGTCCACTCCTGCTCTCTCTACTCCTGGGTGTCGCTGCTCTGGCCACAGTTCTGGTTTCTTCAGTCCCTCACACATCCAGTGCTCACTCCCAGCCTTCACCCTGGAGGGTTCCTCTCCTGGAACAAACCCCTAGGCTTCTACACAAGCCACTCTGTCTCACTCAGGGCTCTGCTCAGTGTTATCCCCTAGAAAGATGTTCCCCACCCACCCTATCTCCAGGACCCTGTGCACCCTCCCTCCTCCACCCCGGGCCTGGATACCCTCTTCCCTGATTCTCTTTGCCATTCTTCCTTCTTTAAGTACCATGTTCCCGGGTTTACTTATTTATAACAGTAAGCTACACAGGGGCAGAGCAAAGGTACCTGTGGCTGGAGGGTAGAGGATGGGGAGAAGCGGGCAAGGAAGGGCAGGTCGTAGAAGATCCCATTTAAGAGATGAACAAACCTCTCGTAATGATGGACGCTTTCCATTCGAGGCTATGAAGTGATAGGGCTTTCATACAGAGCAATAACAATGGACGTTACAGGAAATGAAAATAAACCAAGCACACGTAACCAACGTACCCTTTTCCTGGTTGCAGAGGCTGTTGGTGAAGATGGGAGAGTCGGGAACCTGGGGCAGGGAGGGGCAGGGGGCAGAGCTCCAGGACAGCAGGCTTCCCCTTGTGCTGCCAGCGTAGCTCCCGAGCCGTAGGAGCCAGTGATCGGACAGGGAGGAGCTGGTAGAGCCTGTGGAGGAAACACAGAGAGGGAGGCTGAGCCCAACCCTAGACCTTCAGAGTCCTAGGGGAGCACTTCATAGCCAGATCCCCATTCCGGCCCCATCCTTCAGCCCCGGAACTACAGAACCAAAGCGGAACTGCAGAAACCAGTCAATGACGAGGGGGGAAACCTGTGATTGGGTACCCATGTGACCAGGCTTACAAGTTTAGGGAGAGGCATTTGAGCACAGAAGGAAAGTATGGGCCGGGGCGCAGTGGCTCACGCCTGTAATCCCAGCACTTACGGAGGCCTAGACGAGCAGATCACCTGAGGTCAGGAGTTCGAGACCAGCCTGACCTACATGATGAAATCCCATCTCTACGAAACATACAAAAAATTAGCCGGGTGTGGTGGCGGGCGCCTGTAATCCCAGTTACTCAGGAGGCTGAGGCAGGAGGATCATGTAAACCTGGGAGGCGGAGGTTGCAGTGAGCCGAGATCGCGCTACTGCACTCCAGCCTGGGCAACAGGAGTGAAACTCCATCTCAAAAAATAAAAAACAAAACAACAACAACAGCAGCAAAGGAAAGTACATTGACAAGCATTGAAATGCTTTCCATGAAATTCCTTGTCACCAGCTTTGGCGTCCTAAATATGCTTTTGTTTCTTTTCCAGAGTCAAAGGACTGTGTTACTCAGAGCTATAGCCAGAGGCAGAGTAACAGTATTTTATTACCAGCACCAGGGCCCCAGTACACAGAGTTCAACAGGTAGTAAGCCATGTTTAGGGAAACCACATCTTTTACAACGGGCAGTAAGGACCTTTTGCACCATAGAGATACACTGTCTTTATTACACCGGACAGTTAGAAAACCTTCTTTTCTCTAATAGGACAGGTTTTTAATTCTTTTTTCAATATCTCCTTCTATAAATGGAAGCTGGACTTGCGTTAGGATTGATTTAGACCTGCTGAGGACTCTTGGATTTATTTGGCCATTTTCTGATAACTGTTAGGAGAAAATCTGCTTAATTTTTTTTTTTTTTAATGCTCTCTTGTCCCAAAGATAAGGACAGTTGGTTTGCAGCATGAAACAAATCACACGAAAGGGTCAGCTTTGGCACTTTCTTTCTCCAGTTCCAAGCAAGTTTGAGGCTGTCTAATAAATGAATTTCTGGAGTACAGCAGGTTTAAACAGCTCCCTTTGAGAGGCTGAGGTGGCTGGATCAAGAGGTCAAGAGATCGAGACCATCCTGGCCAACATGGTGAAACCCTGTCTCTACTAAAAAAAAATTAGCCGAGCATGGTGGTGGCATGTGCCTGTAGTTCCAGCTACTTGGGAGGCTGAGGCAGGAGAATTGCTTGAACCTGGGAGGCGGAGGTTGCAGTGAGCCAAGATCATGCTGCTGCACTCCAGCCTGGTGACAGAGCGAGACTCCCTCTCAAAAAAAAAAAAAAGCTACCTTTCCTAGAAAAGTCCAGGATCCTTTATAACTGCCCTGCCTTTCCAACAGGACTGACATCAGTTTATATTACACACACCTAATAAAACCTGCTGTGATATGAGACTAGGAATATGGAATTCCACACTGCCAAGTGTCACCTGCCCTGAATACAAATAATTATCCTTTTCCCCTTTCCTGAATTATCATCTATCCATCCCACACCCTGGCAAATGAACAACTAGTCTGTGCTGCTCAGATTCTACAGCAGCAGCCCGGGCTTCCTCTTTCAGATCCTTGCCAACCTCTCCTGGTCCTGCTGAGCCTCTTCCCAGTTCTTTAAGTGACTTCACCACACCCGCTCCTGTCATGAGCAGCAGCACCTACCTCTCATGGAGCTGCTGGCTGACCAGGGAGGGATGCTGTTCCGCTTCTGATAGAAGAGGATATAAGCCCCTCTGGTGTTGACCTCATCTTCTCGAAGCGGTTCCACCGTGCTGTCATCGTAACTGTACCACTGGCCATCCAGAGAGTTCCGGCAGTAGGCTGCAAAGGTCCCAACCCCAAGTCTCAGTTACTGGAGCCCCAAAAGGTAGGAAGACATTTCCCACTGGCAGAGCTGAAAAAGCGGTATGTTTAAACCAGAATGAGAAAAAAAAAAAAAAAAAACCAGTCCATTTTTGGCCAGAAATGAACTTTTTTGGAATCAGAAAAGATCAATAGGTTATATCCACGGATTCTTACTGATAACAAGTGCTGTTATTATTTTTATTTTTGTTTATTTATTTATTTATTTTGGAGACAGAATTTCGCTCTTTTACCCAGGCTGGAGTGAAGTGGCACCTTCTCGGCTCACGGCAACCTCCCTCCCCCAGGTTCTAGCAATTCTCCTGCCTCAGCCTCCTGGGTAGCTGGGATTACAGGTCCCTGCCACCACACCCGGCTAATATTTGTATTTTTATTAGAGGTGGGGTTTCACCATGTTGGCCAGACTGGTCTTGAACTCTTGACCTAAGGTGATCCACCCACCTCGGCCTCCCAAAGTGTTGGGATTACAGGCGTGAGCCACCGCGCCCGGCCAAGAGTACTGTTATTGTAAGTTGAATATTCTACCCCTTCCTCAGGCAAAATCTCTGATAAAAGGGAGCTCCCAAGTCAGGTAGCCAAACAATAATGTCAGCGTTCACCCCATTTCTTCTGAGAAGCTTCAAAATGCTTATCTCTGATTACGTATGCAATAAAAGTGAAGACGAGAATCACAATTGGGCTCATGGCATACCTCTTTCTAAGAACTGAAGTCAAACATCTAAGGAAAGTTCATACATATTCTCACCACTTCTCAAACAACCACAACAACATATCCTTTTCCTTGCCCTCTACGTGTCAGCAAATGACAGCATAACCCAGTAATCTGGAGGTTTGCAAACTTCTCCCGTAAGGGACCAGATGACAAATATTGAGGCTTTGCAGGTCACATATGGCCACATATGTTCTCTGACACACGTTCTGCATGCCTTTCTCCCACTTTTAAAATTGTAAAAACCGTTTTTAACCCATAAATTATTAATAAAGTAAAAAAAAAAAAAAAAAAACCGTCTGGGCACAGTGGCTCACGCCTGTAATCCCAGTACTTTGGGAGGCCAAGGTGGGCAAATCACAAGGTCAGGAGTTGAAGGCCAGCCTGGCCAACATAGTGAAACCCCATCTCTACTAAAAATAGAAAAAATTAGCTGGGCGTAGTGGTGGGCGCCTGTAATTCCAGCTACTTGGGAGGCTGAGGCAGGAGAATCACTTGAACCCAGGAGGCAGAGGTTGCAGTGAGCTGAGATCGTGCCACTGCACTCCAGCCCTGGCAACAGAGTAAGACTCCATCTCAAACAAAAACAACAACAACAGGCCCTAGATTGGATCCGGCCCGTGGGCCAGTTTGCTGACCTCCACAGTCAGCACCACAAGCCAGCCACCTAGGAGTTCGTCTTTGCTCTTGCTTTTCCTTCCACTCCACACCTAGTCCAAAAGCCAGACCTACTGATTCTACTTTCAAAATATATCTCGAATATCTTGATTGCCAACACCAGCATCTCAGCCAATGGTGTCTCTCACTCAGCCCCTGAAGCACCCTCCGAACTGGAATTCCAACTTCCACTCTAGATCCCTTCCACATATTCTCCATACAGCAGAGCAACTAGTTTGATTTGTACACTAGATTATGTCTTCACTCCTCTGCTTAGAACCTTTAAATGATTTATCATCCCTTTGGAAAAAATGCAAACTCCCATCCATGGCCTAGAGTGTCCTGCCCACTTCTCCAGCCCCACCCTTCGTCACTTAGCCCTGAACGGCCGCACTTCATCCAGGCTCTCATCATGTCTTAAACCCACTGAATGCTTTCTGCCTCAGGGCCTTTGCACGTGCTATGGGCTCTGCTCATAATGCGATTCCTCCCATTGTTCACATAGCTAGTTCTATCTCATCCTTAGCTCTGAGCCTACCTGTGACATCCTTGGAGAGGCCTTATATCTATCACAGACACAGTCAATCAGTCAATCAGTTGCCCTTTCAAAATGCCAGGTAGTGAAAGTGCTAAAATAATAAGCATCTTTTTATTGTCTGTCCCCAAAGTGAGACTGAAGCCCCATGAGGGCAGGTCTCGTATTTGTCTTGTTCATCACTGAAGCTCCAGGACCTAGTGCAGGGTCTGGCGTAGAATGGGTACTTAATAGATATTTGTGCAATGAATTAATGAGCAAAGATCCTGGATTTCTATATAGTTCGGTGTCTTCCAAATTGCCAGTCATCAGCCCATCAGGACACTGGTAATCAGTGCACTTAAAAAAAAAATGTTTAATAAATAAAAAATAAAATATTTTAAAGCTTTTTTCTTTTTTTTTTGAGATGGAGTCTCGCTCTGTTGCCCAGGCTGGAGTGCAGTGCCACGATCTCAGCTCACTGCAAGCTCTGCCTCCTGGGTTCACTCTATTCTCCCAAGTAGCTGGGACTACAGGCGCCCGCCAACACGCCTGGCTAATTTTTTTGTATTTTTAGTAGAGACGGGGTTTCACTGTATTAGCCAGGATGGTCTCGATCTCCTGACCTAGTGATCCGCCCATCTCGGCCTCCCGAAGTGCTGGGATTACAGGCGTGAGCCACCGCGCCCAGCCAAAGCATTTTTAAAATTAATTAATATGTTATTCCGGAACAGAATGGACTAAGGTATATCACATGTAGCAAATGTAATTATCGTGTCATGAAATTCTGTTTTGTCTTAATCTATGTATGTACACATAAACACACATACGCACATATGTAAATAGATGTGCACACCAGGAGGTCATGAGGGAACCCAGTATTTCATTTTGCCATTTAGTCAAGTGCCTCATCATAATATTTTATTTCATTTAACATCTTTTAAGTTTATTTTGATATGTAAAATGGCAAACAAAAATCCACTAAAAACAAAAAATACATCTATGGTGTGACAGCATTTATGTAAAAGTATACGGCAACTTGAAAGCTACCAATTGTTGGGGCCTACAATATGAGAAGCCTCTTACATATGTTAGTTCTAGTCATAAAAATCCCGGGCTGGCCACGGAGACTCACGCCTCTAATCCCAGCCCTTTGGGACGCCAAGGCAGGCGGATCACAAGGTCAGGAGTTCGAGATCAGCCTGGCTAACACAGTGAAACCTCGTCTCTACTAAAAGTACAAAAAATTAGCTGGGTATGATGGCACGCGCCTGTAGTCTCAGTTACTCAGGAGGCTGAGACAGGAGAATTGCTAGAACCCGGGAGACAGAGGTTTCAGTGAGCCGATATCGCGCCATTGCACTCCAGCCTGGGTAACAGAGTGAGACTCCATCTCAAAAAAAAAAAAAATTAATATCTAATATGGCAGATGGCATCTCAAGGAATAAATCTGGCTTTTCCATGAGTAGTGATCTTGGGACAAATTGGCAACTCCGGGGGGATAAAGTTGGATCTCTTTCTCTCAAGAATGTTAAGAAACTCCAAATCAAGGATTTAAATGTAATAAGCTAAAACCAAGTAGATAACTCAAGAGAAACACTTTTTAATCTTAGAGTGAAAAAGGCTTTCTAATCATGACTCAAAATCCAAATGATTGACAATTTTACCTAGAAAAGCAAAAATAAAAACTTTCTGCATGGCAACAAATTTCCACAGGAATAGCCAACTGACAGATGTTACACAGGGAACAAATACTTGCAATTTATATTACAGAAAAGAGGTGAATCTCATAGTCCATTAAGAATTAGAGCATCTAGAAATTGATGGGAAAAAGACTAATAATTTGTTTGAAAAGCAGTCAAGGACACGGATAGACAGTTTATAGGAAAGGAACCACAATGACTCAAACATACGAAAAGATGCTCAAACTCACACTATTAAGACGCTAAATATTCAACTTACACTGAGATACCATTTTCCTCATATTAGATTGGCAAAAATCCAAAAGTGTGATTGCACACTCTACTGGAAAGGCTACAGAGAACCAGGTGCTCTCTTACTCTTATCAGAGTGCAAACTGCTATGACCGTTTGTGCAGGACATCTTGTTCATGCTTGTTACAACACAGACACAGCTATTCCAATTCTGAGAATTTATCCCGCCAATAAACTTTCATATCTAGAAAATGACATATCTAAAGGGTTATGACAGCAATATTTGTGTGTGTGTGTGTGTGTGTGTGTGTGTGTGTGTGTTTTTAATTGAGAAAGAGTCTCGCTCTGTCACCCAGGCTGGAGTGCAGTGGTGCAATCTTGGCTCATTGCAATCTCCACCTCTGGGTTCAAGCAATTCTCCTGCCTCAGCCCTCCTAGTAGCTGGGACTACAGGCAGATGCCACCACGCCTGGCTGATTTTTGTATTTTTAGTAGAGACAGGGTTTCATCACGTTGGCCAGGCTGCTCTTGAACTCCTAACCTCAAATGATCTGCCTGCCTCAGCCTCCCAAAGTGCTGGGATTACAGGCGTGAGCCACTACACCCAGCCGACAGCAACATTTGTAATAGTAGAAGAATGAATCAGTCCAACGTCCATCTACAGAGTATTTAATAAATTGTTATATTTATTTAGTGCATTTACATTTATAAAAGAAGATGGAGAAGCTGTCTAGAAATGAGGACATGAAAAGATTTCCAAGATAGATTTTCAGGGAAAAAAAAAAAAGCCAGGTGCAACACAGCAAATAGTACTTTTACTTAAATCAGGGGGAGGGGAGAAAATATATAAAATCAACACATATATATGTATATATAAAAATATACTCACAATTGCTGGTATTTACATAAAGAAATTGTGGAAGAATAGTACACAAGAAACTACTAAAAATGGTTACCTATAAATGAGGAGGGGGTAGATGAGGAACAAAGATAGAATCAAAACTTGTCACCGTCCGTGTTTTTTAGGCTGTGTGAATTTTGAAACATAGGCATGCATTACCCACTCAACACATTTAAAATGAAACAAAAGGCATTTGAGATTTCTAAAACCCTGAAATGTGGTAGAACTATCATACTTCCAAGAAGCAAATAATGAAAAAGGAATAAAAATGTCAAAAGACGTGAGATAGAAAGCAACAGCTCAGCTTTGAGGGCCCAGCAAGCAGATAGAGTGGAGGTCACACACTCGCCTCTGGCAAGGAAGGGGTTCAACACAGAGTGCCTGCGGGAGGTGGAGAGGGTGCAGGGGGGCAGGAAGGGGGCCACCCACCAGCTGTAGCCCCAGAGGCTCAGTACTGGATGTGTCAGGAATCACAAGAAGTCAAGCCAAGTGAGGACTCAAAACAAAACCAAGATGCTCTGAAAAAGAAACCTAAGACTAGGCCAGGCACAGTGGCTCACGCCTGTAATCCCAGCACTTTGGGAGGCCGAGAAAGGCAGATCATTTGAGGTCAGGAGTTCAAGACCAGCCTGGCCAACATGGCGAAACCCCGTCTCTACTAAAAAATACAAAAATTAGCTGGGTGTGGTGGCGGGCACCTGTAGTCCCAGCTACTCAGGAGGCTGGGGCAGGAGAATCACTTGAACCCAGGAGGCAGAGATTGCAGTGAGCCGAGATCGCTACCACTGCACTCCAGCCTGGGTGACATAGTGAGATTCCATCTCACAAACAAAACAAAACAAAAAAGCACAAAGATTATGTCCCAGACCTGAAGATCACGTGGCTGCAGACACACAGGTCCCCTGAATGCAGGTCCCAACACAAGCAACGAGAAAGACCCACAGGGAAGCACACTCCGTGAAATTTCAGAGCACCTGTGATAAAGAACCTGAAAAAGCTACCAGAGAGAAAAATATATCCTATCCTAGACAAAGGAACAGAAATCAGACTGGCCTGATTCATTCTCAACAGCAAAACCCCACTCCGGACCCCACTCCACATGGAGCAACATTGTTGATTTTCCATCACGGACTTTATGTCCCACCAGGCTATCAGTCAGGTGTGGGAATAAAGGCATTTCCTGACACGGAAGCACTCCAGAGGTCAAGCTCCCATCACCCTTTCCTAGGAAGTCACCGAGGGTGTGCTTCCCCTAAATGAGGGAGTTGACACTCATCGACAACACCCTACATGGCTTGGAGACTTGTTCCTATCAGGAATCACTCATCTCGGCAGGGCAGAAGCTGCTGAACCTGGAGCCAGGGTGACCCAGGTTTGAAGCCCAGGCTCTGCCATTTAACGGGCGGTGCACACTGTCTTGAGGGAAAAGATGGTGTATGCTGGCGCAGATGAGAACAAGAGGCCCGGGTCTTACCCAGGGCTGTGCTGGCTGCAGACACTGCCCTGCCTCCCACCTCGCCAGTCCCTTATTCCCCTTGGGCTCCTCTCCCTTTGGTTTTAGTATTAAGTAGGCTCTTTCCTGGCAGGTGGTGGTACACTGTGTGTGCAAACACAGACCCAGGAGATCTCTGCAAGGGGAACCTCCCAGGGACTGTGTCCCTTCTGCTGCCAAACCACCGCCCCCCAAATCGGGCATTCTGCTCTGTAATGCTCACCCCAGTAGGGGCCTGGATCTCGCTGTTCATAAGGCAGACACCAACGCTTCTCACGCCTATGCTACTTCTAACTCCCTGCTGTGGTTTTACATCACTGCCCTTAATTTATGTTGGGGCCACCCCGTGGGTTTATAGATGGGGAGGCAGCACGTTCAGCACGGGAAATGACAAGGTCCAGGTTCCAGCTGTCCTTATTTTCACCACTCATGTGTGTACGGGGACTCATTCAGCCATAACGCTCTTAGTAAAAAAAAAAAAAAAATCTGAGTAACAGAGATGCCTCCCAAGATACATATGGGCCTCAAGGGATTCCTGCTGAGCTATTTTCAGCCCAGAGAAGTGAGACAGGGGAAGTGGCTGGACAGAACGGTCCCAGCAGTTACAAAGGTGGCGAGGCCTCATCTGGAGCAGGACAGCTGTGGAAGAACAGGCTGGCACCGCACAGCAGCGTAAGGCGGCCACTGTGAGCTGAAAGCGGCTTTGGTGGCCCCCATAACCCTCACCGTGACCAGCCCAGGCTGGCCCAGTGTAACCCGACCGTCCAGCGCATCTCTGTCCAATCAGGTGGTCCCCAGCCTGTAACGGCATCCTCATTTCTCTTTCTCCATGGGGGCCTGTTCCATCCATTCTCCAATGACGGAAATCATGCCCTAAACCCCATAGACTACTAAGGCTCACCCTGATGACCCCCCACGCTATCTGCATGGTGGAGACGCTCAACTGCTACAGCTACCAATAGGCTTCTCACCGTCACTGAGATGCCCTGGGTGGGGAGAAGCAAACAAACAAGACATAATCGAGAAAAATGATCCGTCATGACACTCTGAAAGCCCTCAAAGGGATGATTATAAACAATTGAGAAAATCGTCTGGCCACTTGTTTTTGCCCTTCCCTTCATTCGCTGCTCTGAAGTTCCTCAGAGGAACAAACATGAAAAGTACGCCACAGAATACAAGGCCACCAAATCCGGTAAGTAAGATTCCTCACGCTGAATCACAGATGAGAATGAACGTCACTCTCTCGGTTCCAATAATGACCTCCCATATGGTTGAAAATTTGGGTGATAACTAACCTGTTTGTTGGTTTATTTGTTTTGGAGACAGGGTCTCACTCTGTTGCCCAGGCTGGAGTACAGTGGTACAATCATGGTTCACCACAGCCTCAGCCTTCTGGGCTCAAGGGATCCTCCCATCTCAGCCTCCTGAGCAGCTAGGACTACAAGTGTAAGCCACAATGCCTAGTTCATTTTTTTTTTCTTCATTTTTTTTTGTAGAGACGGGGTCTTGCTCTGTTGCCTAGGCTGGTCTCGAACTCGTGGCCTCAAGTGATTCTTCCACCTCAGCCTCCCAAAGTGCTGGGATTACAGGCATGAGCTACCGCATCAGGCCTAACTTTATATATTCCAACCTCCAACCTAACTCAACGTCAACTCTGTAGCTGGGACAAGGTCCCTTCTGCTCTCGCACATGCCCTGGTGTGCGGTGGGTGAGGGGTCAGATCTCACTAAGTGCCCCAGGGAGCTCAGCATCCGAGCGGCACCCATTCCGGGGACATCTCGAGGCTGTGGCCACAGCTGCATTGGCAGAAAGGCAAGGCAAGGCTCACCTGTGTAATGCCCACCTTGCAGGTTGCCGTGGTGGTTGCAGACGGCGTACAGGTCGTACAGGAAGTCCAGCGGGCAACTGGTGGGCAGGCAGCCCGGCGGCTTCCAGGAAGGCCAGGGGCCCAGTCCTGCCTCGGGGCTGGTGCTTCTCTGGGCCACATGGGGAGCCATGTTGAGTCCAGAGAGTGGAAACTTCACCAGCGTGGAGAGCTTGTTTCTTCTCTCGCCCACCTGGCAGAACCTCTTGAGGTGGATGATGAGGATGTCAGGCAGCGTCCACAAACTCAGCTTCACCATCCCCTGCTGCAGGACTTGGCAGTGCGGACACTTCCAGGCGTCGTCCTGGGCCAGCTGGAAAGGAAACCACCCGGACTGTGAGGCCCCCGCGGCACGTGGCCAACCCACCAAAGGCAGCCAGCCCCCTTCCCCGGCCGGGGCGTGGACCCCCAGGGCGGGACCTGCTCCTCCTTGGTGTAGAACTGAAAACATTCATCCAAGGTACAGCTGTGCTGCTGGTGCGCCTGCTGCTGCTGCCACACGCTGTCGGCATCCTGCGCCCGCTCCTCCTGGAGGTTCCCGAACAGGCTGCACGGAGAGGACACCCACGGCGTTCAGGACTTTCCCGCTCCGAGACAGGCTTCGCCTATGTCTCTACTCACAGCAAACCCGCCACAGGGCATTGGCCAGGCGACGCTACCGTGCCCTGTCTATGGGTTCCTGGGGAGCTGCAGGCATCCTTTGGACTCAGCACTATATTCTACTGGAATTCTCTCTCCCCCACCAGCTCCTACAGGGACCAGGTCCTTGGCTTATTCATCTTTGTTTTCCTCATCCTAGCACAGGGCCTGGCACCTAGTAGTTGATCAATAAATACTTGCTGGAGTGAGCAATGTCCTTTCTTAAAGCAAGGCTGATGCCCTCAGTGTTACAGAGGTAGCCAAGTGTGGTAATGAGGAGCATGGACTCCAGCCAGAGGGTCTGGGTTCAAATCCCAGCTCTACCAGTGTACGAGCTGTGTGCTCTCCAGCAATTGCTTAACCTCTCTGTGCCTCAGTTTCCACCTCTGAGAAATGTGGATTACAGGAGTACCCACCCCAGACCACCCACACATAGGGTGTGAAGAAGATTAAATAAATCCCCTATACACACGTAAAGTGTTCAGAGCAGTGACTGGCACGGGGTGAGTGGGTGGGTGCTGCGTAACTGTCTACTGTGACTGCAGTTACTACTCTTGACATCACCCACCACCACCACTGTCACTCCATTCCTGTCACTGTTATTTACATACAGAAAATTCTCACTCAGGCATCTCGCAGGAACGGGTTACACTGGCTCAAAGATGTGGGCACCCTGCCTGCAGCCATGCTGGGGGAAGCTGCATCCAGGGAAACCTGGGCACCGAGAGGCCCTGTCTCAGCTCTGCGGGAGGTAAATTCCCTTGAACTCACCGCTCCTTGACAGAGCTATCCCACTCCACCGCCAGCTTGACATGTGGAGGGCCTCCCGGCCTCCTGAGATGCAAAGCCCTGAGAAGAGAACAAGGGAGCCCATCAGAAAACACGGGACCTCCTTCCTGCAGCTCTTCAGGGCTCTCCCCGCAACCCGGGGACTGATGTTCCAAACAGCCTTGGCGGAGGTCAGTGGGTGCATCATTTAATTCTGGGGGAACACATTTGAAAGCCCAAATTGGACTCACATCTAAGCAGGATCCTTAAATCAGTCTTACTAATAAACTTAAAATTTTCATCTCTTTCTGCCTCAATCCACAATCTACTCTTTGACTGGAATTTAAACATGGAAGTAGAAAAGGAAAACAGGTACCTTCATGTTCCAAGTTTATTGTACAAAACTCCTCAGGACAGGGAAAGAAAGAGGTGTGGCTGTCGCCCAGCTTCCCTCTTTACATGGAAATCAGATTGTCACTAGAGGGTGAGATTACCTCCCCCGACCACAGCTCTGATACAAAAAGAAAGAGGGCCTTATTCAATGTTTATGGAGATGCTATTCCAAGAAATGTACAAACCTAACAATCCCCACCCTTAACGGGCCGATAGGCTAATGGGAGGAGCACACAGAGATCATTCTAATGCACTCAGGTGTCTGGGGACGCACACCCCGGGCTGCTCTGAAGGACAGATAGGCAGGACCTGGCCAGAGGAATGACTGAGACCTTAAAAGCGAATGTAATATAAACAAACATTGAAAACTGGGACTTAATTAAACTAAAGAGGTCTGCACAGCAAAAGAAGCTATCAACAGAATAAAAGAGGCAGCCGACAGGATGGGAGAAAATTTTTGCAAACTATGCATCTGACAAAGGACTAATATCCAGAATATATAAGGGACTTAAGTCAACAAAAACAAACAGTCCTATTAAAAAGTGAGCAAAGGACATGAAACACACCTCTCCAAAGAAGACATACAAGTGGATAACAAACATATTAAAAACTGCTCATCATCACTAATCATCAGGGAAATGCAAATGAAAGCTACAATGAAATACCATCTCGCATCAGTCCAATGGCTATTATTAAAAAGTCAGAAAATAGGCCGGGCACGGTGGCTCAAGCCTATAATCCCAGCACTTTGGGAGGCTGGAGATCAAGACCATCCTGGCTAACACGGTGAAACCCGTCTCTACTAAAAAATACAAAAAACTGGCAGCAAAACTCCCAGCTACTTGGGAGAATAGAGTGAACCCAGGAGGCAGAGCTTGCAGTGAGCCGAGATTGTTCCACTGCACTCCAGCCTGGGCAACAGAGCGAGACTGTGTCTCAAAAATAAATAAATAAACAAACTAAAGATAAAAATTTCTTAAATTTTTATTATTTATTTTTATTTCTATAACTTTCTTGGGTGAATGTTGTCTTCTCACTTATATACTTTTGTTTTTTTTAAAGATTCATAGGTACATGTGCAGGTTTTTACATGGCTATATTATTTAACCATCCCGGGTTAAAGCGATTTTCCTGCCTCAGCCTCCCAAGTAGCTGGGATTACAGGTGTGCGCCACCACGCCCGGCTAATTTTTGTATTTTCGGTAGAAATGCGGTTTCACCATGTTGGCCAGGCTGGGTCTGAACTTCTGGCCTCAAGTGATCCACCCGCCTCGGCCTCCCGAAGTGCTGGGATTACAGGTGTGAGCCACCGTGCCTGGCCCAAAAATTTAATGAATTTTTTTAAAAAGTCAGTCAGGGGAACTAGAGGGGAAAGGACACACAGGTGGAGAGCTCAGCAGTAGAAGGCAGGGTGTGTGCTGGAAGACCTCAGCACAGTGAGGGACAGGCCACATGGGAGAGGGAGGGCTCTGTAGGCCACCCTCACAAGTGTGGACTTTAGCCCGTGGGCACCAGGAGACCACTCAGTGGTCTCTAACACCAAAGACACTGGACGGATTCAGGTAAGTCAAATAGGAGGCTGCCAGAGCAATCCAGGTAAGACATGATCAGGGCCTAAATTCAGACAACGGTGTCAATGTGGAGAGGAGTGGAGAGATCTGGGGAAGTGCCAGGATAGGGAACAGATAAGGCCTGAAAATGGACTGAATGGAAGGACAAAGCAGAAAGAAGGGATCAGGGACGATGCCAGGTTCCTAGCTTGAGTTCCTGAGTAGATGGTGGTGTCACCATTTAGACACAAAGATGGGAAAAGAAAAGCTTTAAGCAAGAAGAGTTCAGACTCACAAGTGTTTAGTTACCAGTGCCTATGAGGCATGTAAGTAGGACAGGCAGGTCTGCAATCTAGAGAAAAATCTGGGCAGGAGATATGGATCTGGGAGACTTTGGCCTAAAGGCGGTAGACAGAACCAAGAATAAGACCACCCAGGGATGGGGCCAGGCACGGTGGCTCACGCCTGTAATCCCAGCACTTTGGGAGGCAGAGGCGGGCAGATTGCCTGAGCTCAGGAGTTTGGGACCAGCCTGGGCAACACGGTGAAACCCTGTCTCTACTAAAATACAAAAAATTAGACGGGCGTGGCAGCGTGCCCCTATAGTCCCAGCTACTGAGGAGGCTGAGGCAGAATTGCTTGAACCCGAGAGGCGGAGCTTGCAGTGAGCCGAGATCGCGCCACTGCACTCTAGCCTGGGCGACAGAGTGAGACTCTGTCTGAAAAAAAAAAAAAAAAATCATCCATAAATGGAAACCAGAGGGCCAGGTGTGGAATGCTGAGACCCAATAATGTTTGAGCATCCAGAGAGGGAGAGGAAGATTTCAAGCAGACCAAAAAAAAACTTATAGGAGATATATTTCTAGGTTGTGCATACATACAATGGAATATTATTCACCCCTAAAAAGGAAGGAAATTCTAACGTGTGCTGCAACATGGGTGAACCTTGAAAATACGATGCTTAGTGAAATAAGCCAAACACAGAAGGATAAACACTATGATTCCTGCTACCTGAGGCACCTACAGTTGTCAAATTCATAGTGACAGACAGTAGAGTGGTGGTTTTCCAGAGACTGAGGAAGACGAAGGGGAGGGATGCTGTGTGATAGGTACACAGTTTCCATTTTGCAAGATGAAAGAGCTCTGGAGTTGGATGGTGGCAATGGCTGTATACCAAGGTGAATGTAACAATTCCACTGAACTGCACACTTTAAAGTGGTTATAATGTAATTTTGGCGCCGGGCGGTGGCTCACGCCTGTAATCCCAGCACTTTGGGAGGCTGAGGCGGGCGGATCATGAGGTCAGGAGATCGAGACCATGCTGGCTAACACGGTGAAACTCCATCTCTACTACAAATACAAAAAATTAGCCGGGCGTGGTGGTGGGCGCCTGTAGTCCCAGCTACTCGGGAGGCTGAGGCAGGAGAATCACTTGAACCCGGGAAGTGGAGGTTGCAGTGAACCGAGATTGCGCCACTGCACTCCAGGCTGGATGACAGAGCAAGACTCCATCTCCAAAAAAAAAAAAAAAAGGAATTTTTGTATTTGTGTATTTTGTCAAAAAGAAAAGAAAGAATTTCCTATAGAACAAAGAGATGTTGGGATAGGCATGGAAGAGGCAGGGCAAAGGCTAAATGGAGAGCCCTGTGAAACAGGTAAAGGTCACATCAGATGCCAGAGAGAGCTGTACCAGCAGGGCTGGGACTGGGATTGTGGGGTGGGGTGGGGATGGGGATGGGGTGAACAAGGGCCAGACTGTAGTGAGATGTCCAGTGAATGGAAGGTGTGGGCCAGGAGAGGTGTGACCTCAAGAGGACATGCTTTAGGATGGTCAGTTTGCTGGACAACTCTACTCAATTCTAGTGCTTCTCAAACTACCTATGGTAAAAGACTAGTTTGACGGTTTGTTTCCAAACCACTGCAGACCAATACTTTTATAAAAAGAAATAACGGGCCGGGTGCGGTGGCTCACACCTGTAATCCCACCACTTTGGGAGGCAGAGGCAGGTGGGTCACTTGAGGTCAGGAGTTCGAGACCAGCCTGACCAACGTGGTGAAACCCTGTCTCTACTAAAAATAAAAAAAAATTAACCGGGCGTGGTGGCACGTGCCTATACTCCCAGCTACTTGGGAGGCTAAGGCAGGAAAATTGCTTGAACCCAGAAGGCGGAGGCTGCAGGGAGCTGAGATTGCGCCACTGCACTCGAGCCTGGAAGACAAAGGGAGACTCCGTCTCAAAAATAAATAAATAAATTAATTAATTAATTAATATAAAAAGTAATGGGGGGTGAGGAAAGACATACAAAATATAAGTTCCATTTTTAAAAGAAATTATCTTATCCACCATATTATAGATTACTCTGTCACATTGCTTTAACATTCGTAAGTGCTTCCTCTCAAGTTCTTGTCATGGGCTGGTGACAGTCAGTTCATAGGCTGGCAGTCTACAGGACCACTTTGGGTGGCACAGTTCTTATCTCCAAGACTGACTGTGGGAAGGGGGTTCCTCTTCCTGGGGCTCCCTCTCCCTGGGAGACCCAAGCAGGCCCTTGATGATCCTTCTCCTGCCTCCCTAACTCTGTAAAGCAAAAGCATGCGTCAGCCAAGGAGGATGTGGATGGGGTGTAGGTCACAGAACCTTCTGGCTCACCCGCTACCCTGGTTCCTGGTCTCTTTAGAAGGGGAGAGGCCCATCTCAGTCAGGCCGAATGTGGCTGACCAAGTCAGGAAATCAGAGGACCTTACTGAGAACCTGGGGTCTATGGAAAAATAAAGAGAAGTGCCAGACATTCATTTATAGAGCGGAACTGTCCATAGATGCTGCAACGACCTGGGGATTGTTTTGCAAGGCCACACGCACCGGAAGGCTATCAAGGTAGCAACCAGAGACACAGCCACACTGGCTTTAAGCCTCAGTCCACAATCTCTTACAGTTTAGGACCAATGAATTAGCTGTAGAATCTTCACGTATCCTAGGGAGATATTCCTGTTGAATTCAGGAGCACGGCCGGATTGAACGAATTCGGTGTTCTGTTTTTTTTTGGTTTTGGTTTTTTGAGATTGAGTCTTGCTCTGTCACCCAGGCTGGAGTGCAGTGGCACGATCTCAGCTCACTGTAACCTCCAACTCCCTGGTTCAGGCAATTCCCCTGCCTCAGCCTCCTGAGTAGCTAGGATTATAGGCGCGTGCTACCATACCTGGCTAATTTTTTTGTATTTTTAGTAGAGATGGGGTTTCACCAAGTGGGCCAGACTGGTCTCCAAATTCTGATCCCAGGCAATCCACCCACCTCAGCCTCCGAAAGTGCTGGGATTACAGGCGTGAACCACCATGCCTGGCCGAATTTGGGTTTTAGTTAGATCAATCTGGGTTCAAATTTGGGCTTGCCTATTAACTAGTTGTTTAAGTGTGATCAAGTTAACTAATCTCTGACAACACTGGTGTCCCCCCATCTTTGAAGTGGACATAATAGTGCCTCTCTAGACATAAGAGTTCAAAGCACAGAATATGCCCAGTGATCTAACATAGCGGCTGGTACTGGAGAGGTAAATGATCAAGAATAATAAACACTACGAGCAATCTCATTGACACATACCCTCAAAGGACTCTAGTAAAATAAGATAGGATTCATTAACTTACTGAACCTGGACCTTCCCCCTTACCTGTCAACTGCCCAGTGACAGAGGGGCCGACTGTCCTTCGGAGACAAATAGCTACAGGCCACAGAGAGTCCCACAACACGAATGGAGAACAAAGACCCCAGGTTCTGCCAAGACAAAAACAGACATAAGTCATTATGTAGCCCCATATTGATTTAAATTAGACTCTAAAGTGGCGCATACATTAAAAAATACAATCATTATTTTACCTCGAGTATTTTGAATATTCCCGTAATAATTAGAATTCAAAATTAAGAGACAAAAACTTCATTTTTTTTCAAAGATTCACACTATACCTTGTAACGCAGTGATCTAATACTGTGTTTAATACGTTAAACCTTCTCCCCAAAAATGAACATGGTGTGTTTAAATAGCAAATGCTTAACTGGGGCAGATACTGGTACATTTAATGGAACATAAATCAATCATGTTAATTAATTTTTAATAGGTAACTTAACCTACTTTATGAAGATGATTATCATCCCCACAATGAGGCAATTTTCTAAAAGCCAGTTCATGTATATTTTACAGGCAAAGTAAATATTTACACATTTTTAAATAAGCCACATAAAGAGATAGCACCTTAGTTATTATTCTAAGATATGTGTTTATTATATTCGAACTTTTCCGAAATTGAAATGAGGCTTACAATGACATATTTAATGGAAGATGCTTCTTAACAATTCAATGCAATGAACAACTCAATTTAAAAAATGGGCAAACATTTGAGTAGCTACTTCTACAAAGAGGTAGAGACGGCCAAGAAGCCCATGAAAAGATCAGCAACATCATTAGTCATTAGAGAAATGCAAATCAAGACCACGTTGAGGTATCACTTCACACCCAGGGATGGCTATAATTAAAATTTTTTTTGAGACACTGAAGTCTCACTCTGTCGCCCAGGCTGGAGTGCAGTGGCGCAATCTTGGCTCACTACAACCTCCACCTCCCGAGGTCAAGTGATTCTCCTGCCTTGGCCTCCTGAGCAGCTGGAATTGCAGGCGCCCGCCACCACGCCTGGCTAATTTTTGTATTTTTAGTAGAGATGGGGTTTCATCATATTGGCCGGGCTGCTCTCAACACCTGACCTCAGGTGATCCGCCCACCTCGGCCTCCCAAAGTGCTGGGATTGCAGGCGTGAGCCACCGCGCCCAGCTTACAACTAAATGTTTTTGTTGTTGGTGGTGGTGGTGGTGGTTTTTTTTTTCTGAGACGGAGTCTAGCACTGTCGCCCAGGCTGGAGTGCAGTGGCGCAATCTCGGCTCACTGCAAGCTCCGCCTCCCGGATTCACGCCATTCTCCTGCCTCAGCCTCCCGAGTAGCTGGGACTATGCCACGCCCGGCTAGTTTTTTTTGTTGTTGTTTTTTTTATTTTTCGTAGAGACGGGGTTTCACCATATTAGCCAGGATGGTCTCGATCTCCTGACCTCACCCACCTCAGCCTCCCAAAGGGCTGGGATGACAGGCGTGAGCCACCGCACCTGGCCCATTTTTTTTTTAAGTGAAAAATAACAAGCATTGGCAAGAATTTGGAGAAACTGGAACCCTTATGCATTGCTGGTGGGAATGTAAAATGGATGGTATCGCTGCTGTAGAAAACAGTTCAGCAGTTTCTCAAAAGGTTAAATGTTCAGCTACCATATAACCTTCAATTATCTCAGGTGTGTATCTAAGAGTCGCAAGGAGGGGCTTAAACAGATATTTATACACCAACGTTCACGGCAGCATGATTCACAAGTCAAAAGAAAGAAATAACCCAAGTGTCCACCAACGATGGATAGATAAACAAAATGTGGGATATATACACAACAGAATATTATTTAGCCTTAAAAATGAAGGCAGCCCAGCGCGGTGGCTCACGCCTGTAATCCCAGCACTTTGGGCGGCTGAGGCAGGTGGATCACCTGAGGTCAGGAGTTCGAGATCAGC